CTTGTTGCCCAATCACTGCAGTTTTCTAGGAACTTTTACAAAAACATTTCATCCTTGGACCTTGACACCTTTCGCTGTGTATCATCTTGAACTTGGAGCAGCGCTCTTTATTTTTCATTTCAGCCTTCACTCGTGGAACCCGTCAGGACATCAGCTCGACAGATCCCAGCTTCACCATGAGGAGGAAGATGGAGCATTTGAGAGAGGAAATGGAGCAGATTGGCCTTCTACGGCAGGTCAGACGCTTCCCAGCCTGTTTATGTTTTTCTAGTTTTCACCAGTCGATGAGTCATACGAGGAGTACAGTCTGCCAGATCCTGTTTGTGTTGCAACGCCTAGAGTTTCCGAAGAATAAACCGAGTTTACGCTGGTTTTTCTTAATTGAACTGGAGGAAATGTACACTCAAACAGGATCTAATAGATTTTCTATAACTCTGTGGAACAAATACTTTAGAAATTGAATGTGAGTATGATCAGCGGTGCACTAGTTTAGCGAGGTGACTAAGAGGAATGCAAGCAAGCCTTTGAGGACCTTTTAAAAAGCTAGGGGAAAGAGATCCTATTTCTGACCCTTTCAACAGTCTTCATTTGAAGTAACTTCAAATGAAGACTGTTGTTATTTGCAGAGTAGTATCAAATAACAACTTAGGATTGTTTATTGTGTGGAGCAAGAAGAACAAGGATTTTTAACTTTGTTAAAGGAAATGCAAAGGGTCTTTCAAATACCAAATATGGGCATAGGAAATTGGCTGACTTCCACTAAAGTGCAGTCTTACCACAGAACTGCTTGAGACACCCAATCTGGCAATTCATCCACAGATTTGGATGAGTGAGCTTCCTTGGTTTTAATGGGAAGAGCTCCAGACAATGTTAGTAAGAAAGAGTTAGTAAGAAAAAAAAAATCAACATTAGTTACTCTGTATAGAGAAAAATCAAAGCCTATAACAGCTTTTCAGTAGAGAAGGCATTTAAAAATGTCCAGACCATGACTCAAATTAAAAAAACACAAACGAGGGCTCAGAAAAAGAAAAACGTTCATTAGTTAGATGAAAGCCAGACCCAATCTTTGAAATATCTTGAGAAGATTAAAAGATTTTAGGACAAACCATATTGAGAACTACTATTCATAAATGGAAAAAAAAACCAAAAACATGGAAAACACGTAGCAACCTTCCCAGCAGTGGAAACAAAAATTACTTTGAAGATCAGATTAACAAGTTATTCAGGAGTTCAAGTAGCCAGAACACCAGAGCTCACATTCCTCAAAGGGGCAGCGTTATGCAAAATGGACAGTTCAGAAACCAAACTAAAAAGGAATAATGCCTAATTACTCATAATGCCTACTTATTTCCAATGCTATGCGGGTTAGGCAGTAGAGATTCATCTCTACTCTGTTCATCTCTGCGGAGCCACAGAGCAGCTGGAAGGAGAAACGAAGGTCGCTTGGGGAAAGCGCTGAACTGGAAGCGTAAACATTTCCCTAACGCTCATCAGGACACACCGAGGCTCTTCTGCATCTCTCAAGCAAAATGCCCAGTTAGTCTTAAATGATAATGAAGTGCGTCATACCTCTGGGTCCTCCATCTAATCTTCTTTACATCTCAGTTTAAAATTAGAGTCTGGCAGGGAGGGCAGCACCTGATTCCAGCTTGACGTACCGCCTGTGTGCTGATACATCTAATAAATGTCCGTAGAGAAATCAGCTGACGCGTGTCTCCTTAATCAAAACCTGCATGCAGAGTTTATGTTATTTCTAACAGTTGCAGACACCCGGCGTTATGAATAGGGTAGAATAAATTAGACTTTTCTGAACCAAAGTTTGTTGTTAAGACTTTTAACCTAGACTTGAGTTTTTTAATGACCCTCAAGACTTTTGAGAAAGTATTCTGACAAATGTAATACATGTGCTGTAAACCTGACAGCATTTGTGGCGATCTGCGGCTACGTTGCTATTTTTGGATGTGGACAACTCGAACCAGGAAGTCTACTTTCTGGAACACAATGTTACGTCATGACTTTATGGATCTAAGCTCAAGCTTACCTGCGTTATGTAGTAAGACATTAACCTGAAAAGCTCTACCGAGAACACCCCTGAACAGCTTAATAAAAATAATAATAATAATAAAAAAACAAAATGAAAGGTTATGTCTTTGAATCCAGTTTAAAAGTTGGAAAAATCCTTCAGTCTGGCTAAATTGATGATGAGACTTATTAATTTGCATCCAGCAATGGTCAGAAGTGTGTCTTATGTCCAAATCATTTTGACACCAGTGCAGAGCTTGCTCAAAGTTGGCAGCACATCAGTGGGAGTGACACTTTTTGACAAGGATGTGACAAAAAAGGGCAGCTAAGAAGCCAACGCTCCACATGAAACACAGAGGTAAATTACAACTATTTGTTTTTTCTGACTGTTTGGGACATTTGGAATACATTTATCTGGAAAAGAAGTGTTGGATCCAACCCCGAGGCCGTAGTGAAGCATCATAATGGAATCCAGCAGTCGGGTTTACTCACAGCAACACTGCCAGGAATAACGAGCCCTTTCACAACATGTGCCATGAGCATCGCTTTCCAGTTATACAATCACAGTTTGGTGATTATCTGAAATTTCTTAGTCTGATGGACCACAGTTTCACTTGCCAACAATTTTAATGACGAGTCTTAAAAATTTTAAAATGAAAGCCTTTGACCTGCAGGTCATTTAAAAATAACTCAAACACTGAAAAGATAAAAATTGTTTCGCACAGTTAGGATTTAGACCAGCGCTTGATATTAAGCATGCTGCAGTGAATTGAATAGGATTCACCCAAATATCGCTTCTTTTATCCTTAGTAATGAAATTTCCCATTTCAATTTTCTAATTTTCTAAACATTTGTGAAACACACAAATATTTAAACTAAACAAAAGAAGGTAAACAGTCCGGTTCGGTTAGTCATTTCAACTTTCAAGATAACACCACTTAAATCGAAAATAAGCAGATATAATCTGTCACTCGGAAGCACTTAGGGTCTTTCCTGTGTAACTGGGAATCAGGGCCGATTAGGACACAGTTTTTGTTTGCCAGTAAAAAGAGATGTCTTGATATTACAGCACGCTTTTCACGGGGTATTGCAAGAAATCGTTTTTCCAAAGAAACATATTGCTGGTGGTGATAGCGTAAATAAGAAAAGCAAAGTGTTTCAGGCAAGCCTTTTCTTGACAAGAAAATTTCTGATAGGATCATATTTTGCCTCCGTCCTTGGTAGGATTTTACCCAAATGAAGTTTTTGTCATGGAGGTGGTTTTTCCTCTAACTTCACTTCCTGCCTCAGCTTGATTCCCTGCAGTCAAACCTTTCAGGTTAATGACTGTGTGGTGTTGTATTATTTAGAACACAATGATGCTACCAGTTAATACCAGTTAAAAATATATAACGTATCAGGATTTATTTGCTCTTTGTGGGACTAAGTTGTATTTTTTAAAATAGTATCGTAGTTAGTGCCAATCTACTAGGATTTTCACTCACCGTTGTGTAATAAAAAATAAGAAAAAGCTCAGTGAGTTGCAGTTGTGTCGATGAAAATGCCTGGTTGACGTTAGATATCAGAATGAGTCTGCGTTCACACTGCAGCCTAAAGTGACCCAATACCAATTTTTTGTCAAATCAGATTTTTTTTGCCGTGGCTGTTCACACTTCCAAACATACGTGAGCTGTACGTGTTCTCCTGTGTGGACGGCAAACGACCTGGAAGTGTCCCGCATGCGCAGTAGAGGGCGCAATAACGTCAGCGTGCTCGGTGTTTTGCCAACCGCCATACAGAAGAAGAAGAAGAAGTGCTCAGTGTTTGCAGAAATAAATGTTGATGCTAACGGTGGAGCTTAGCTTACGATTTTGAAGTTGTTGTCCGAGTGGAACAGCACTTTAACAAGTTTTTCCTCTAAGTGTTTCTTCCCGCTTGCGAATATCACGTTCAGGTCGGATGAATGCGACCTGGACGTCAGGCCACATTTCAATCGGATACGTGTCGGATAACCAAGTGGCCTGGGTCGCATTCGAAAAAAATCCGACCTCTGTTGTTCAGACTGTCATGAAAAGATCAGATACAGGTCTCATTACATCAAAAAGTCTGAATTGGGTCACTTCAGGCTGCAGTGTGAAATGAAATGATGGGCCACGAAGGTAGGATATGACAACTGGCAAACACATCAGACCTTAGCTGGGCTAAACAGCAGATGACCACACTGGGAAACAAGAAACTGAGAAACACCAAAGCTGGACAATACAAGATTAACGATACCTAATCTCATGAGTGTCAATTTCAGCATCAAGATTCAGATGGTAGAATCAGGATTTGGTGTAAACATGAAAACATGGACCCAGGAAAGCAAGCAGGAGTCACCTTCGCCTCTTTAATATCAGTTCAGTATTGTTTAAACACCACAGCTTAATGTTGCTTTATGTGTTGAAGTTATGTGACCACAATGTACCCATCTACCAATGTCTCCTCCCCCCAAGATAATCAAAGCTCTAATTGTCTTGCACTGGTTTCTTGAATGTGAGAATGAATTACTTGTGGTTCTGTAAATAACATCTTTAGTCACCAGATCTCAGTCCACTGGAATACCTTTGGGAGGAGGTTTCCATCATGGATGAGCAGCTGGCAATTCTGCAATAACTGTGAGATGTTATCGAGTTATCATAAACCAACATTTCTGAGGAATAAACACCTTTTTGAAAACCAAAGGACCAGACCCACACACCCGCGCTGTCGCACCCTGTCGCACCCTGTCATAAGATAACAGATGAAATCTTATTTAGTTCTGCAGCGTTTGTTGTTCTGATCGAAGATACAGGAGCCGACATGCCATTCACCACATCACAGATAACAAGAACGGAAACAACAAATTCGCCCTGTCTCAATTACCATGCGTTAGAGTTTGCTACATATCATGAGTAGAACAAGAGACCGCATCGATTTCAACATAAAGTAGCTCTGAAGGTCTCTGACATATTCCTGACTGCAGTTGCATTGATTCCCTGTTTCTCCTTCCAAAGGCCGTTTCTTTTCACTTTGGATCAAATCATTGCAATTTCTGGTAAAAACAAAACAAAGCCTCATTATTCTTGTCCCAGGGAAAAAGTGTGAGTTGCAGAGAACTGGAGGTCACAAAAGATGGAGGGACAAAGACACTACAGATGAGAGTTTCGCATTGATAAAAGAGTTGATTTGTGTAGAGATCATTCTCCAGAGTCAGTGAGCAACTGGACAAAGATCCAAGTATTTCTTTCTGATAAATTAAACTTGTCACATGAAAAGAAGAGACGTTAATTCTGTCTGTCAGTTTTGTCTTTGACCTTCCTGTGTTCTTTGAAAGCGATGTTGCTCAATATGTCCACACAGACGATGTATTCTCAATGAATGACTGTCAACATGATGTTCGTTTGGATATTCACACATTTTGTAATTGTCTTCTGAAACTCTTTCACAATCATGAAATTCCCACTGTATAAAATAAAAAAAAATATATATTTACGTTTATTGTATATACTCCACAGCTAAAAGAATATATGACTTTCTCAACAACCAGTAGAAACAATATATGTAATTACTGCAGTAAAACATTTTAACATGTTATTTTTTTCACTAGATTTTACAAGATGCTTTCCTACTAGGAACTATCACAGCCATTGTTTAAATATATTCGTTCAAAATGGTCATTAACAAACTCACCAATTTCAGTGGTAAGCCTCAATTACAGGGAAACAATGAGGCTTTTACGTCTGTTTTTACATTTTTAAACTTTTAAAATTATAACTTCATGGAGTTTGTAGCCTAATTTTAATGGAAACCAAACTTTCTTTCATTGACTCAATACCACAAATGAACAACAGTGGTAAAATGGTACAAACATTTAAAAAATGTCTCTTTCTAACATGTTTGTTAGCAATTGGAAAAGTCCTAAGTTGGTTTTCACCTTTGAGCAAGAAGGCATTTCCCTGTCCTCCCACGATAATGGCGGGTGGTGAGATAAGCTCAGATTTTCCAAACAAACAACCACCTAAGATGTACTTTCTTTTCTTTTTTTTGTAACAAAGGCATCCACCCAAGCGTGGTTCGAACATGCTGACTATTGTGCGTCATTCATATGTCGCAATAATTGCAAACCGCAACCTTTGGCTTGTGAGTCCTTTTTTTGTTTTTAATGCGTGATCAAGTTGTGTCTATACTGCACAAATCATCAATATTGTGAAGAAAACTCTAAATGTGACAGAACATGTTCATGTTACGGAAAAAAATTACTTTCTGATGTAACCTTTAAACCTTCCCCTCACCTCCAATGACAAAGGTCACAAAATAAAGATTTTATTATGAGATGGTGACGCTTTCCGACGTAAATACTCCAGACACTTCTAGAAATAGTTGAAGACAGTCCAGAAGAGTTTAATTCATCTGTGTTTTTAGACATGTTCAAAATAATCCCAGAGGTGAACCAGCGGTCATCCTGAGACACTGAGCCGTTGTATTTAAGAAGCATGTAGAGTGACTTCTGCAAGAGGAATTGGAGGAGGTATTTCTGACTGCAGCTACTGGACGACTGAAGCAGGTGGAAGCAGTTCGTTGTACATCTGACATGCCAGAGGTAAAAACAAGGAATCCGGAACAGATTAATTGAGCTCAACCCCCGCTGTTTTTGAAAAGAGAATTTGTCCTGGATTCCCGTAAGACTCCCACACGCTCGGGCGTACTTCGCTCTGCTCCGCTCACGCTTCTCTTTTTCAACATTCGACATTATCGTGTTATCTTTAATGTGTGCAGAACATTGAGTCCCGACTGAAGGTCCTCCTCCCAGATGATGTTGGTGCGGCGCTGATGGATGGAGTGGTCCTCTGCCATCTAGCCAATCACATTTGTCCCCGATCTGTTGCCAGCATTCACGTGCCGTCACCTGCAGTAGTAAGTATATCACCGTATAAACGTATTATTTGATCTAAACTGCTTCACAGACATTTTAATGCTTAACAAACTAACATGATTAATGTTGTGGCTTCCAGCCAAAGCTAAGCATGGCAAAATGCCGCAGGAATGTTGAAAACTTCCTGGAAGCGTGCAAGAAGCTTGGAGTTTCACAGGTAACACGTTTTTTACCTTAAATGTTTTCACTCTGCATTTGTTTAGTCATTTAGGATTTATGAGTGCCAAGTGATATCAGTAATTGACCACAGAAGATAAATGACAAAATTATGAAGCTGCCTAAAAGAGGCCTACAAGTTTTTTCATGCACTTGTCATTCAAGTTTCCTGTAGCTGAGACTCTGACTGATGTTTTCCCCCCAAAGTTCGTTTTATCATTTAGGAAAATCTGTCTGACAAATATACATCCATCAAGCGCATGTTGAATGACATCAGCCTTAGTCGGTTTGCCAGTGATGTTGATGAATGATCTCTCTGTTAATTCAGGACAAACTATGTCTGCCGCATCACATCTTAGAGGAGCGAGGTCTGGTAAAGGTCGGCGTGACCGTCCAGGCTCTGCTGGACCTGCCCACGCCTAAGTCCACTCACTTGTCCTCTGTTTGACCCTGGAGAGTAAATGCTGCTCATATCCTGCAGTGATCAGCCCACATCCACACTCCCAGGGACTTAGGACCCCTGTATTTGGGGCGAGGACTCAGTGGCTTGTGGCTTTGTAATGGTCTGCTTCTGCCTGACTGAGAAAGGAGACGGGATTACGCAAAATTTCTCCTTAAATGAAGTCGGTCGGCAACCGGCTCCAGTCCAACGCATTATCACATGTTCCTTGTTCCCCGTTTCTGGGCTGAGAGTGGATTTGTAACGTGACGGCGAGATTCCTCAGCTGCACTGCTAACCTGGATGCAAAGACGGATGTGACAATGGGTTAATCAGAAGACCTTTACCTCCCTCTCAGCTGTTACCACGAACTCTGCAAGTGCCACTTCAGATTGGACATCCACGCTGTTATAGCACGGCGTGGCAAAGAAATAAGACATAACTCACTGTTTCACTTGAGACATTTTTATTTTTTTTATTTTTTAACGAAATGTTTCATTGGTTTCCTTAGTTATTTATTGTATTTTTGCCATGTTCTTATGTCTTAAACCCTGAGTCAGGGAAATAGCTGCCATGAATTTTGGACTCTACTTTTTCTTTCTGAGTTCAAGCTCAAGTTCCAGTAGGATTTGGTGCTGTTCTGTAGAAAACCAACAACAAATGCTGAAGTTCTGATTCATTTCAGCGTCTTTAAATGGCTGCAAAAGCCATAAATTATTTTGTACTGGAGCTACAGTGCTTAGTGTATCCATACACCTTTTTCCACAATTTGTCCTCAACAAACCTCTTTATATTTTATTGGGTATTTATGAGATGGACCAAAATGCACCAAAGTAAGGCATAATTTTGAGTTGGACAGAAACTAATAGATAGTTTTTAAAATGTTTGACAAGAAAAAAAATCTCATTTTGATGTTGCAATGATATTTTTTGCTGTATTTCAATTGATCCTTACCAGCTTTTTGCTCAGGGTTTTGTGCAGACGTAACTTTAAAACTTTGGATATTTTTTAGAACCTGACTGCTTTAAAGCCTCTCCACCTCTCCGCTGACCTGTCTGCTGTGCTCCTGGTTCTCCATGATGCTGCTCCATCTCTAATGGTCTCCAACAAACCCATGAGGTTTTCACAGAGCAGCTAAATTTATACTGAAATTAAATTAAACCCATACGGACTCTGTCCACTGGATTTTGCTTAGGACTATCGTGATTAAATACAGCATGAAGTCTGAAGTTTTCTTTTTACTAAAAAAGGAAAAAGCCAGATATTTTCTTCCACTTCACAATTAAGTAATGCTTCCTTTTTTTCCATCACATACAATCTCAACAAAATACATTGAAGTTTGTTCATGTGATGTGATAAAATGTGAAAAAGGTTCAAGGGATAGATATATAGTGCTCAAAAAAATAAAGGGAACATTTCACTTTAATTTTGTGTGTGGCTCCAAATCCAGGCCTCCATTGGTTAATAAATTTGATTTCCATTGATGATTTTTGTGTGATTTTGTTGTCAGCACATTCAACTTTGTACAGAACAAAGTATTCAATGAGAATATTTCATTCATTCAGATCTAGGATGTGTTATTTGAGTGTTCCCTTTATTTTTTTGAGCAGTGTACATATATATTTTTCCAAGGCACTGTATTTTGCTAGCAGGGGAGGCGACGTTTTTGACCACTGTGATTATGCATGCACGGTCCTTGCCAAGGCGTTCTAATGTACGTGCAAGTTTATGTGTTCCTCAATGTTTAAGCATCTGATTGCCTGTTATGATTTGCACACAAATCAGTTTGGAATCTTTATTGTTTTTCTGACCTCAATTGAGAAAATGTTGCCAATGTTAATGTTGTTGCGGCTCAGAGATCCTCCTGCAACGCTCCCGCTCTGAAACCGTGCACAGCAGGGCAGCTTGCTGTGCACGGTTTCAGATCTACTTCAGTGAAATGTATTGGTGTAATTATTTAACCCTTTTACTTGTGCATGTTTTCGGTCGGACATCGTGACCTCTCCGAGTTGTTCAGGTGCAGCAGAACATTTATTTTTGACCAAACGTTACGATAAGCTGCTAGCAAACACACCGATTCCTCTGATTGGTCGCTGGTTGAACTCTTCCAGCGGTTTGAGGTTCAGCTCACCTTGAGAAGCCTCTCTGACAAATCAAAAGGGAAGAATAGCTTTTGATCGTAGCAACACCTCGAAACATGAAAATAGCAAATATGCAAATATGGCAAATGCATATAGCCGCCACACGAGCCTGAACAAAGCATTTATTGATTAAAAAATGAAATAGACTTAAAAATTACGGATGCAGGCTTTTAGTAGTTACACCAGGATGTCAAAACTTTACACCCAAAGTTTCCTGTCATCTCAGGAAAGCAAAGCAAAAAATAAGACTTACTGGTGGTCATATGAAACAAATCAAATCAGCGTAAATTCAAAAGTGTTTTCTTTCTTCTCGACATGTTTGATAAAACAGAACCCTTCTTTCACATTGGGAGTTGCACGCCTTTGCAGCAACATGTCTTAACTACATGTTAGCATTCCCTCAGGCACAAGTTGTGCAGTGGAAATAATTAGAGCTTCACAACACAAATAAAAGGAATTACCTTGGAAAATGAGGTCATCTAGAGGGAATTAGATTAAATTACCTTCAAATTAAACAATGCATAAATTACTGTAATTGAGAATCCTGGAGAGCTGAGGAAAAGACTGTGGAAAGTTTAACATCTTCCATAGTAAATGTGTGAAAACCGCAGAAATGTTTTAAATAATACAACACTGCATTTTAGTACATCTACTCAATGAAGTTGGAAGAAAAAACTAGTGATTGTTTTAAAAAGAAATTATTACCACACTTACAGGGACCAAAAATAATTTCTAGAAACAAAGTAAATTGAAGCATTTATTATATATAGTAAATGCTTAAGTTTGTTCACAGAATTGATCACTTTGAGTCGTTTTCACAAATGGAAAAGTCATTCCAACAAGCCAGATTTGTTTTTAATTTATATAAAGGGCAGGAAATGATAATAATAATTAAGTAAGTAGCTGTTCCTCAGTATGTTTCTATTTCCACAGTCAACCAGTTGCTCTCGTTTCAAATTATAAGACTAAAAGGGACAGAATAAATTTGAAAAAGCTTTACCGGTAAATAGTAGGAATGCCTTTATGAGGCACGGTGTACATCTTTGCCTGTGGACAGAGCCGTATGCATGTTTGGGACACTTTTATAATCTGTCAGATCATTTTGAACCATAATGAGAACAAAGTGTCGTCCTGGTCAGATACTGATTTCTGAAACCAAACACTTCATGATCTGCGGAAAATGTGATATTTTCTCGTGCCACGTTGATTTTCACCTTCAGCATCACCTGATTTGCTAGTTCCATCAAATGTTTGCAACTAAAACCACACAAAAAAAATCCCTAAAATGTTAAAAAGCAAAGCTGCTTTGAAATCGAGTGAAGATGTGGCAAATCAGTTTTCTAAATCTCTAATGTAGGAAAGCTTCAGCTCCTGAAAACATCCAAGGATGTCAGGATGCTTTTCCAGTATTTACCATCAGAGCAACTAAAGCCTGGAATATTGTGCCTTAATTGGGGGATATTTATTATTTATTGATTTATATTTGTTTGTCAGTTAAAATGTACTTTTGTTGTTTTTCCTCTAATATCTGCATAATTCTCAGACCTATTCAGGAGGGGCTTTGGATCTAAACACAGCTGAAATTCACACTACAGCTTACACTCTGCAAAGATACACAACCTTCTGTTACTCATTGTTTTCACTCAAATGTTTCTGTTTCACGCCACAAATATTTCTGTTTGCTAATTATGCAAGTAATTTTGGGTTCTGTCAGTAATTTCAGCGGACTTTCTCCCACAAACCTTTTAACTCAGATTTGTGATCCGCACTACAGCCTTGACTTTGTTGTTCTTAATTGACCTTGAAGCTAATTTGGTTACATTCCTACGATCATTTTCCAGCTGATGTCTTGAGAGATTGTTTTAATGTTTCCATGTAATGTTCTTTCCTCATGACTCCATTTATCTTGGGAAGTGCACCGGTCCCTCCTGCAGCCAATAAGTGCTGCTTCCTCTTTACTTTACAGTTGGGATGGTAATGTCAGGATCGCAAGCGTCTTCGTTTTTTCCAAATGGTAACAAAGATCATTTTTTGCATTTGCAGAAAACGTTTTATTTTTGCTTTTGTAGTAATAACTTCTTCTTTCCTTGCTGAGTGGCCAGAACTCATTTTTCTGTGAATAATTACACATTTATCAGCTTCAGTCAACATCCTTGCCTGGACTTTTGTTTTTGTTCTGAGGTGAACGGTTCTCTTACAGACATTGTGCCTGATTTGAAATCCACTCTGACATCATGTTGGCTTCCCAAACTGTTTAAAGGTGAACTAATCTTGACATATAAACTCCTGAAATTGATGAGAGTAAGAAAAACGTTCTCCAAAAGCAATTTATCTCTTATCATTCCCACATTTAGCAAACAGAATTCATTTTGGTCGTCCTAAAGTAACTAAGACTGACGTGAGACAGTAAGAAAGATGTGTTTTGTGTATGCATTGCATGCAATGTTTTTTTGTTTGTTTTGTTTTGTTTTTTGTTTTGGTTTTTGATTCAGATTCCAGTCGTATTTGCCCGGTCCCAGACAGACTTTTGGGTGTTATTAATTCCACACATTTGTGTCTTTTACTGTGTCTAAAATTTTGTAAAATAGTAACAGTCAGCGAACAAGCAAACGCAAAAAACAGTGAGGAGAAAAAAGTGATTCATTATGGCTTGAAGTGTTGTGATGTTTGTGGAATTTTCCTGCATAAAAAAAAAAAAAAGCCAAATTATGCTTTGCTACAGCTCTTCTCATCATCACACAGCGGGCTCATGTGCATGGCACGTCCTTTTCTTCCGACCGCAGCTGTATATATACAAAACAATGCGAAGCATCCTTCTTATCATACATATGGAGACGACAGAATCTCTTTAACTTTACCAGAAAATCCGTAAAAATCTTAAAAGTTATCATTCTTATCTGTGCTATGGTTGTCTGAAGTCAACACTTTCTTTTGCACAGTTTGAGTAATTCCTCCCACGGAATCATATTCATCGGTGCATCATTGAACTAATGCATCAGCTGATAAGAACATAAACTGTAGTATTTCATCACATTGTGTCAAAGTCTCAGCTCTGCTAGGCCATGCAAACGGCTTTTACGGCACAAGAAAACAATGTGCAGCTATGATTTATACTTCAGTTCTGATGCCTTGCGTGTGGCCCATCATTGCTTCTTTTCTCAAATGATTTATTGGAAGGGAAACATATCCGAGTCAAGCAAAAAAAAAATACAAATAATTGCTCATGGTGAGACTACATAATCATCATTAAATTGTATGTGTGAATATAGGATTAGCGATGACTTTCCCAGAAGGATTAATCACCCGTCAGTCGCAACGTAGTGCAATTACTCTGACATTTCTGCGCAGACAAAAGGAGAGCAGTGCACAAGCTGCTTGAACGGCAATTATCAGAAGGACTTCAGGTAATTACCTGATGTTTGAGGCCAGTACTGGGGCAGAACTTGGGTCTGCGTTTGTGCTTTTCTTTGTTGCAAAAGATGACTCATTGTGTTTGAGTGTGTTCGTTTACTTTTCTCTGTAAAGCACATAAGAAGGCGTGTCACACCGCTAAGGTGTTTCAGTAGAAGTACTTGTGCTCCTCTGTTTTTTCTTTGTGGTTGTCAATCATCGCTTGCTGGTACATGCATTTTGATTCACCTAAAACAAAACTTTTTGTGGCGCAGATTTCATATTCCAGTCTTGCTTAGTATAGTTTAGCTCAGTTTCTCTCTAACGGTGTCTTGCAAAATTTGTTACGCTTTAAGGAGATTTTTTGTGGTTATGCACAAAGCTGCACATAATTAAGAAGTGGAAGCCAAAAGTAAACACTGTTTTCAAAATTTCTTAAAAATAAAACTCTTGAGTCAGTACTTTCTTTAACCCACTTTTTCTGCGACTGCACCTGCAAGTCTTTTGGCATCAGAGGAGCTGAATGTAAATGGACTCTGCACTTTATAGGATATTTATAAAAAAAAAAAAAAAAACACTAGGCGGCATATACACTGCTCAAAAAAATAAAGGGAACACTCAAATAACACATCCTAGATCTGAATGAATGAAATATTCTCATTGAATACTTTGTTCTGTACAAAGTTGAATGTGCTGACAACAAAATCACAG